CCTGACCCTCCAAGTAGGGTTTGGAAACCGAAGCCTCGAAGCTTTAAGCCCTCAAACTGAGATCCGCTGAGCCCTAAGCTGCTTTGGACGATGAAGTGTCTAGATAGAAGCCCAGTTACATACATATTGGGTTCCTGTCCTGAAGTCCCTATATAAACTTATACTATCCAAGGACCTACTATATGGGTACCTGGGCTTCTAGGGTATAGATAGATCCTAAACCCTAGAACCGAAACCTTCCACACTAAACCCTAAACCCTATACCCTAAACCCTACAACAAGTACCTACCCCTAGAAGCCCAGTTACCCATATATTGGGTTCCTGTCAACAAGTCCTTTTATAAATTTATGTTACCTATAACCCAAGGACCTACTATATGGGTACCTGGGCTTCTAGGGTACTTTAGGCGATTTGGGTGCCTGTGGACTACCAAGGGTGGAGACTTCACCGTCGTTGTGGAAGAGCGCGCTGCCTCCAATCAAGATACTGCTGAAGTCGTGCGGACGGAGTTCAAGGCCTTGAGGTTTAGGTTTCAGGGATTAGGGTGGGTTTAGGTTTTAGGGTTTAGAGTTTAGGGTTCGAAGACTAGGGTGTAAGGTTTAGGGTTTTGGGGTTCAGGGCTTAGGGTCTAAGTATCAACAGCGTATACAACATAATTAGCTACAAGCGTAGCTATAAAGGAACCTGTTTTGGTTGAAGCTATGTACATCCTATCTTTCAAGGTACCCCCATGATTTGGGTATCATCAAGCCCTGAACCCCAAACCCGAACCCTAAAGCTAGACCATCATTGTTTTTGGAATTCAGGACCGCAGTATTAGTAATTACCTCCAAGTAGCTTTGTGCCGCAGACAGGTATGGTCTGTCCTGATGTGTCAATGGTCAAAAGTGCCTTGGCTCTCCTTTTCAGACCTGATGAGTAAAGACAACGGAGGGAGGGTTTAGGGTTTAGGGCTTAGGGCTTAGGTGTAAGGCTTAAGGTTTAGGATTTCGGGGTCTACGGTAGATGTTGGGTCAGGCTACGCTAGTGTCAATAAGATTGCGGCAACCTCATCCCCCAAAACAATGACTTTATACTATATACTAATGATTCTAGTATGGACTCATGTCTGGAGGTTAGGGCTACCGAACTTCCTATAATTGCGTGAGCGTCCCTACAATTACACCCTACGCTTTATGTGGCTACCTAATATATAGACGATGCTAGCCAATAAGTGTGATATCCTAGACAGGGGCACTGCAAATTCAAGGGCCTGCAGGAAGGGTTCGCAAGCAGACTTGCGATGCTGCTCCCGAAATCAGAACCAGGAGTCTGTTCTGCTTATGGGCGTTTGCCGGCGTAGCAGCGCTGCAAACTCAAACATACCCTCAAAAGTATAGTACTCTTGAAGTCAATGCGTGGCTTGAGTTGTGATGTTTGAAGGCTCAAGGAACTAAGGGAGTAAGTTATAATCGAGTTGCAAGCTCTCTGTTTGGGGTTGGCCTTCGGAGAACCCGTTTTACAAACTACTCACTAGGCACCTGAGCCCATGAGTCGACTCCAAGAAATGGCTTCAACTAATGCGAGAGTTTTTTTGCAGCTTATCTGCTGCAAGACAGCTAAAGAACCTGAGTCTCTAAATCCTAGTCCGGAGTCCTTCTCATATAAGGGAGGGCTCCTTATGTGGGGTAGCTCTAGTCATAAGTTACAAGTTTCTTACGTTGAAGTTCTGCTTCTGCGCTTATGGTCAGGACAATGGCACGATGGGGCCCAGACCTAAATCCTAATCCTGAAGCCCGCTACGCTAGCCTTGGTGTCCGGTCTAGTGCTTGAGACCTTAAACCCCAAACCCCAAACCCTTAAATCAAGTATTTCCTAACTTTGAGTCGACAACTGTTGCCTTTACCGGTTGACTGTCGGATGTTAAGACCTCAAGTTCCAATATATTTGTTAACATATTTCGTATGTTCACTCGTACTTAAACCGAACAAGGAATAGATTTCAATCTGTACTAGCACTTGGGAGAGGTCCCATCATAACCATAATTCGGGGACTCAGGAACCTTGAAGATCAGTAAAGCCATAACTGGGTTATACTTACCCTTTATCTCCAAGTAAGTATCCCTAAACCCTAAACTCCAAACCTTAAACCCCAAAGCCAAGGACCTAAACCCTTAAAGTCCTAAAAGTCCCGCACTTTCATCCTGAAAGCATGTCCCCTGGGCTTAGGCTTAGCAGCAAGCCCAGGTCTTTCACGCAATGATCCACTCGGAAGCCTTCAAAGAGAAAGCAGCAGCCGAGGTCATAATTCAGGACCACTGATTTAGGATTGAGGGTTTAGGACTTAGGGCTTTGGATTTAGGGTTTAGGATTTTGGCCGTAGGATTTTGGGTTTAGAGTTTAGGAGCGGTTTGGGGTGTGGGCATGCAGCACGCGGTTCATGTTTAGGGGTGTAGGGCTCTGGGTTTAGTAAGACCGCTGGCCGCTGAACTATGTTGCAATTTGCACCAACTGTTAATCCCCCCTTCCTAAGCCCTAACCCCAAACCCTAAACCCTAAACCCTATGCATCACTATGCTTGACGCTACAGTACTGGCCAGTGAAGTCTACTCTGGGGGGAAAGATTCATTATTCAACTGGCCACCATGCTGGATGTCTTTCATGCAGAGGCATTGTAGGGATCTACATTCATTTCTTACCCTAAGCCCTAAACCGCAAGCAACATTGCATTTTGTGGGTTTGATTAGGGTTCAGGGTTTACGGTTGACAGTTCCAGCCTTCTCACCCATGATATATTGACTCCTCCAGGTGCAGCAGAATCTGTTTCCCATGGAGGCGGTGTATGGAATAGGGATAGAAGGACATTTTGGTAGATGAGCCTAAGTAACTTCCGCATTGGGGCTTATGGTATTATAATATACGAAGGTCATGCAGGATTTGTTGTTGTAACGGATAGGTATTATTCAAGTGTAGGTAACAGGGCATACAGGTAGTGGTTGGAACTGAGGATTTAGAGTTTACGGTCCATGCCTTATAGGCCGTCACATCAGAATGTTCGCACCTGGGTATGCTGAGGTACTGTTGATGGAGGGAATCTTGTACCACCTTACGTTCTAGAAACCCTGGGAATTACAGTAGTTAAGTACCCCTAAGTGGTGCAAGATTTCCTTCATCAACAGTAGGTCTAGGAGAGTAATGCCTAAACAGAGGCCAGAGAAATTCAGAGGCTTCCGCCTTGACAATCATGAGTTCCAGTAGGTTCTAGTAAGAGAAGCAGCCAACCCTAAACCCTAAACCCTAAGTCCTAAACCCTAAATCCTAAATCCTAAACCCTAAACCCAAATCTCGTCATGAAGGCCCACTAAACTGAAAGCTTGCACTGCTAAACCCTGCAGGCCTCTTTAAGGTAAACAGAATATGGAACTCTCCCCAGACCATATTAAGAGCCCCATATAGCTTATATTCTATCTACTCCAGGGGGACTATAAACTCTAAAGCCCGTGCCTTGAACCCTAAACCCCAAGTTTGCGCTGGCTTCAGGACTTTTCGGCTACGACGGTTGAAGTTGTTTGGCTGCAAGGGCCCGGAATGGGCCGCTACAGTGGTTGGAAGAAATCTAAACCCCGACTCGGAGGCCCATGGGACTTAGTACCTACTTATTACTAGGATTATAACCCTACGTATAATTGGGGTAACCCCTATAAGCCCATTTAGGGGGATTCTAAGTAGGGTTATAAGCTAAGGTTTAGGGTTTAGGGGTCTAGGGGTTTAGGGCTTAGGGGTTTAGAGTTTAGGGGTTTAGGGTTTAGCGTTTTAGGGTTTAGGGGTCAGGGTTTAGGGTTTTAGCGTTTAGGGTTTAGGGGTTAGGGGTTTAGGGTTTGGGGTTTAGGCCCAACTTGCTCGGCGGATAATTCGGGCTTGGAGTCTAGGATTTAGCGCTTACCTCGTGGAATCCATGTACCGTGCAAAGTGGAATGTCGACCTACTATCAAGCTTACTCTAACTAAAGTTTTGGGATATTCAAGGCTTAGGGTTTGGGTTTAGGGTTCTTTGGGCTGCACGGGGCCCATATAGGTGCTGTTATGATTCCTATTCCAGGGGGTATGGAAAAATCCTGTGACTTTACGTGGTTCGGGTTTAGGGTGTCGGTTTCTAACTTGTACAGATCTTAAGCCAAATTGTCCCTGACTGGAAGCCCTAACACCTAACTCTGAAACTTAAACCCTGGACGGAGAATCCTTAGGGCTTAGGGTTAATTCCCAAGCAAATACCAACCCTAAACCCTAAACCCTAAACCCTAAACTATAGTAGTTTCCATTTTCTTTTCCATTACCCCTATATATACCCATTATGGTAACTTAAGTTCCTTAACAGCTAGGACATCCCCTTAAACAGCTAACTCCCAAGCCTCAACTTGAAGCGGTGCAAGGTTGAGCCCTCTAGTTGGCAGCAGTGCACTTAAACGTCTCATCTACAGTTTATGGAACTTATGTTTAGGGGTTATAGGGTTTAGGGTTCAGGGTTTAGGGTTTAGTCTAGGGTTTAGGGTTTAGTTTAGGGTTTAGGGTTTAGGGCTTATCTCTATGACACAGCTATATATATCCCCACTTACATCAACCCACTTCTAATCCAACCTCAAAGCCACCAGGCCCTCCCCGAAAATCCAAAACCCTAACCCCTAATCCCTTATCCCGGAAGCCTAAACCGGTGGTGGAAGATATCTTGCCCCACTCCCTATTGTACACAAGGAATCCTAAGTGGCGCCACACCCCAAAGCCCTAAAACCCGAAAGTCCGAAAACCCGAAGCCCTAAACGCCAAAAAACTAAAACCCTAAACCCTAACCCCTAAACCCTATAATCCCTAAACCCTAAACTCCTAAACCCTTAAACCCCAAATCTAAATCCTAAACCCTAAACTTAAAACCCTAAACCCTAAAATCCTCAAACCCTGACTCTGAGCCGCAGCAAGGCATTCCTTCGGTTCTTATACTCGGGCGTCCTCCGCGGGAGCCTGGCAACTGCAGTGGAGGTCGGCATGCTGGCGGACAAATACCAGGCTCCAAGGGTTTTGGGGCTTCAGGGGTTTCAGGAGTTTAGGGGGTTAGGGGGTTAAGGGGTTTAGGAGTGTAGGAGTTTAGAGGTTAGGGTTTGGGAGTAAATCTGCGCAGCATTATATATAGATATATGTATATCGTATACGTCAGGAACTACAGTATTTCGGGAAAATTTGAGTGGTGCAAGACATAGAAGGCTCCAAGTGAGCGTTCTCGGGCGTAGCCGTAAGGGTCAAAGTACCCATCAATGTCGTTGGCCAAATTGTTGCTATGTGGCTCTTTTAGAGCCAAACAATATACCGTTGGGCTGCCACCTGGACAAACCTATACAGCCCGGTCTATGCTTTTTGTCTTGGTTTGGTATGAATTTTGAGCTATGTTTCTGATCAGGACCCCAAACCCTAAACTTTAACCCCTGAACCCTAAACTACTTTGGAGGGTCTATGTCTGTCTCAAGCTCTACAGTCATAGGACTGGCATGGCACCCACAGTATGCGTAACAAGCCCTAAGAAGCCTTAAGAGGCCCCCACAGTCCCCAATCAACCCTAAGGTTGTTAATTTGTGGGGCCCAGATATTGGGAGACCAAATCCCTAGATCCTAAACACCCTAAACCCTAACCATAAACCCTAGTAGTCCCTTGGTTCAGAGTCTGAAGGTAGGGATACTGAGGCCACGGTTTAGGGTTTAGGGCTAAGGGAGCTTCAAGGTTCAAAGGTTCAGGGTGGAGGTGTCAAGATTTGCCGGTAGACGGTTCAGGGCTCATGGGTTTAGGGTTTAGGGTTTAGCTGCAGACATTGAAGACATGATTTGAGATCCTGTTAGTTTGATGATGATGCAGGGTGGGTGACTTAAAGATAATGTCCACCAAGACTGGGATCCTTCCCCTTACCCGCAGTAGTAGTTCTCCTCACAAGAACCCCAAGAGATTAGACTATTGGGAGGCACCCTAAACCCTGAACTCTAAGGCGTATGAGTTAACCCTAAACCCTAAACCTTAAACTTAACCCCCAAACCCTAAACGCCCAAGCCCAAAATTCCAAATACTCCTGCAGTACACGCCTGGACCCAAACTGGATCCCTTTCTGAATTGATATTTCCTGGAGGCACATATCATGTGGCTGTCTCCCAAAATAGGGCCCCCCTATCGACCAAATCCGTGCAAGTTGTGCTGCGGCCTTGAAGTCGCACCGGGGGGTCATTGCGTCCGCAAGCTGCTGCCAAGAGCATGCAGGGTTTAGGGTTTAGGGTTTAGGGGTTTAGGGTTTAGGGGTTTAGGGTTTAGGGTTTAGGGTGTAGGGGTTCTGTCCAGCTTGAGGAAAGCCAACCAGAGGCTGAAAGCCATCCAAGCCCAGCACAACGAGGCGGGGACACGATGCTGCGCGCACAACATAAGTGCTAGCAGGCGATCATAGTGGTCAAGTGTACCCCGCGTTAAACAGACTCCCAGAAGGGCATCCGCGGGGTTTACGGTTTAGGGTTGGGGGTGTGGAAAGCCTGAAACCGCGAACACTACTCCTTGAACCCTGCGTATTCCTGCATGCTGTGAAGTAGCCCTAAACCTTAATACTTACACTAAATCAGGCCTTTAAAGCATACCCCGAATTTTGGGAAACCCTAAACCCTGTTAATAATCGTATATGACCTCTAGTCTAAACTCCGAAAGTATCCCCCTTGATAAACGTCTATAATACTCGCCATATATTGTCTATATAGCCCCCTTTGAGCAGCCTAGACTATAGCTCAAATGACCCTCCATAACTTCCATCTCCCCTTTGAAGCATATAATCCCTCAATCCCCCTTTAAAGTAAATATACCCCTATATCCCCCTTTCTTGCATGTCACCCCTATATATCCCCCCTCTAAAAGGGACCCCAGGCTATCCCACATAAGCCCTAAATCCCCCTTTAAACTATGTATCCCTAGACCCTAAACCCTAAACCCCTATGTCCCACTCTCAAGGGACCCAGGCTAATACCTTGGACTAAGAACCCTTAGTCCCCCCTCTAAAGTATATATCCCTAGACCCTAAACCCTAAACCCTAAACCCCTATGTCCCACTCTCAAGGGACCCCAGGCTAATACCTAATACCCCTTATCCCTAGACCCTAAACCCTAAACCCTTACATCCCCCTCTAAAGGGACCCCAGGCTAATACCTTGGACTAAGACCCCTAAATCCCCCTCTAAAGTATATATCCCTAGATCCTAAACCCTAAACCCCTATATCCCGCTCTAAAAGGGACCCCAGGCTAAGACCTTGGACCAAGACGGGAGGTAGACAAGCTGCACAGCCTCTGCAAGCTGGCGGTCCAGAAACAGCTGAGGCCCTAACAGCGGCTTTAGGGTCAGGGCTTTAGGGTTTATGGCTTGGGTTTTAGGGGTTTAGGGTTTACGGTTTAGGGTTTAGGGCTCAGGGTTTAGGGTTTAGGGCTTGGGGTTATAGGGTTGTAGGGTTTAAGGCTTAGGGTTCCGGGTTGTAGGGTTTAGGGTTTTGAGTTGGCTGTTAAATTGCCACCTGCAAGGGGGTTTATAATGGCTCTGTAGGGGTGTGTAACTATAGATATAAAGCAGGATCTATTCCAAAATTGGAGTCGCTCTGTGGGGGCTCCTATACTATAAGGATTCTCTTATATTGGGATCTGTATTGGGCCGCCCTTCTTACGTAAGAAAGTACCATTTTAGTAGGGGTACCGTCATTGCATAGACGCCAGAACTGAATGTCGTTACGTAACTTAAAAGAGAAGGGAATGTAACAAGACCCTCCTGGTACCCTTCATTTGGGTTTTGGGGCCCCGAAAAATTAGTGCGTACTATCCCCTAATGAATTCCTAAGCGCTAAACCCTGAGCCCTGAACGTCAAGAAAGACCCTAAACCCGAAGCCCGAAACCCTAAACCCTGAACCCTAAACCCTAAACCCGAAACAAAAAAACTGAACCCTTGCACCCCAGTTGCATGCCTTGGCTCGCAGGCCTGATACTGCCTGCGAGCTTCTTCAGTTGGCAGATCGATTCCTTCCTTTTTTGGATCGCAATTTTTCAAGGGTTTAGGGTTTAGGGTTCAGGGTTTAGGGTTTAGGGGTATAAGAGGATATATGAGGGTATATTGGGATCATGCATAGGTTGAGGCTTAGGGTATCCAAGCTTAGCGGTTCCTTGGGTGAGTTTTTTTTTGGGCCAAGTGTTTTTGGGGTGTGTCACATTGAAATCTTTTTGAACTTCTTAGTCGGTTCGGGTGGTGCTACAGTTCAAGGAGTCTTGCAAAGCATGTCGATTATGGACCCAGACATGACGTGAAACCTTGAGCCAAAATCTCGGACCACAAGTTGTAGTTTCACCCGCATCAGTCACCAGTGTTTAGCATGGAAAGGGTACCGTGTCCCCTTTGTGGTCCCTGTAGAATCCCTATCAATAAGTGTCTATATTCCATTCCTTCCTTCGTTGCTGCACAATTTCAATTGAACATCCAGCGAGGTCCAATCAAGGAATAGCCCTCGCGTAGTATCCTCCCGGGACCTAGAAAGCAAGCAGAATAAGTCATATAATATGACTGAAGGACTACACTGAAAACCCACAACCGTAATTTAACCCGGAAAAATCCTAAAAGCCCTAAAGCCCATTAACCCTAAACCCCAAACCTTAAAATACTTTGGGCTCCCTGGGAACACCAAGGATGCCAAAACGCCGACTTGAGGTTACAAGCACTCGAGAAAATCCTGATTCATCCAAAGGACAGCTATGGGAAGCCCTTTAGGCCCTAGGTATATACTTTGTAGCTACATGGGCCCTTTGGTTCCTTTTTTCTTTTTCAATAAGAGCATCATGTTAACTACGACCCACTAAAATTAGGACCCCATGGCTTTCACATTCCTACGCTGGATTGCTCATTTTGGAGGGCCTGGGTTTACCATCATCACCTACTTGTTTTTCATCGCGGAAGCAACAAGGGCGCAAGTACCAAAAAACACGGAATTTAGCCCCGAAACACATGCATGGGAATCCATGCGGACCAAATTACTTCGTTTGGCACCTTACGGAATAGGTTGCAAAGTAGCATGAGTTGCATTTTATATCCAATATCCCTAGCTGCTACTCTCGGCGTGCCACTTCAGATATCATTTTTCATTCGTAGTTTTTTGTTGCTTTCAGTACTGGTATCCGTCTAGCTTTTTCAGACCTTGCAAGGCCCATATCAAGTCCTGAAGCACATCACACGCAACATGCTTGCAACATGTTCTTTTTCAAAGCTAGATGCGATCTTGCGCCAGCCCTGCCGTCCCTGTTGCTTATGAGAGAGTGGAGGGAATGCATGTAGAAGCATAGGGGAGTCGATAGGGATTATGATGGAGATCCACCCTAGCACTTCCCATTAACCACCATGTAAGTATCCCGCTTGCCCGTAATCCCTAACTACAACCCCTTATAACAACGCAGGTTCCATGCAATGTTCCATCTCCTTTTCCAGTTGATTCTTCATGAAACCCTAAAGCCTAAGCTCTGAGGATGGTGGAGAAAAGGTCCGAGAAAAAAACAAAAACTCTGAACTCTATTCTCCTAAGAGCCTCAGTACTCGGATAACGGGGCCAGGTACGCAAGTACAAGGTTTTTAATACCAACACCAAGAGTACAACCCTGGAACCCTTGATTTGGGGCCGAGGGCTATGAAGGGTTTGGGGCTTAAAAATGGAAAGGACTATGCGAATGATTGTCTGACTGGGCATTACATAGGGGCTGCTATAGGGGTCCATTCCTCAATTCACTATCAACAGCCAGATAGTCAAACTATTTGGACAAGTAGAGTTCACCCAGAACCCTACACGCGCATCCCTAAACCCAACATCCTAAATCCTAAGCGCTGAACACAAAATCCAAGACCCCCAAGATCGTATCCCCAAAAAATTCCCCACTGTGGCCTTAATCTGGTCCTTATATGATCCAATGTAGTCCCCTGGGGTAGGGGCGCAAGCCTGAACCCTTGACTGAACCTTATACCGCGGGCCCTTACAAATCCTAAGCTCTAAATCCCAAATCCTGAAAGCCCTGAACCATCAGTCCCAAACCCTGAATCCTAAACCCTAAATTCTAAACCCTAGACCTGAAATCCTGAACTCTATGGAGCTGGTTTGAGCGGTTGTTCCAGGGTTTGCTTGGACATCCCTGGCTATAATGGGGGTTATTGTAGGGATAGTAGGTTGACATACTAAGTCAAAAGAGCCTTCAAGTACCCTAAGCGTCTAAGGATTCATATTTGAAGGAATGTCGGCCCAAAGACCATACTATGTAAGGTTTTTAGGTCATGTTGATGCTTAGGGGTAGCGTTTCGGGTTTGGGGTTTCGGGTTTAGGCCCTACATCCTAAGCATACTAAGCCCTAGGGATCCAAAGTTTGGGTTTAGGGTTTAGGGATTTAGGGTTTAGGGGTTTAGGGTTTAGGGTTTTAGGGTTTAGGGTTTAGGGGTTTAGGGTTAGGGTTTAGGGGTTTAGGGTTTAGGGCAGAGGGACTGGATAAGCAGATGGAAAGCTGCTATATTCTTGGGGTAGGGCATATAGGGATCCTGAACCCTAAACCCTAAACTCTTCCTCATACACTTATTTCGGGGCCCAAGCCCTACATGACAAACAAACTAAGGGTTTGAGGCCAACGTATATGCACGCCCAGACCAGGGAGCCCCCCCCCCCCGCCCCCCTATTTGGGTCATAGTAGGGATAACTGTGTACCAACCTTGTACTTATGACATTTTGGAGCTCCCAAAACTTAGGGGACCCACTATATACTGGACCTTTCTCATGTCTATGCTCAGGTACGCAAGGGCAAACTCGAACCTCTCCACCCCTTGGCTTTTCTCCACTTTAAGCCTTTAAATCCGAAGGGTTTAGGGTTTGGGGGTTCAGGGGTTTAGGGGTTAGGGTCCTTTTCGCCTAAACCTCAAACCCTGAACTCTGACTTGACTCCTTGGGACTTAGCTTGGACCTTAGACCCTTAACCCGTTGGCATTCCCTCATGTTCCTATTATCGGTACCTAAGGGTTAACCCTGCTTAGTAGGGGTCCTAAGTGCCCAAAACCCTAAACCCCAAACCCTAAACCCTAAACCCTAAACCTTGAAGGAGGCTTTAAAAGCTCGGCCTGCCATCTGCCCTGAGCTCCTGGACGAGGCATCTGGGTCCAAATGGAGAATGGCAACCCCTTTTTTCTGGGGTTTAGGGCTTAGGGCTTAGGGTTTAGGGTTTAGGGTTTAGGGTTCAGGGTTTAGGTTACCCTAAGCATCTAAGGATTCATATTTGAAGGAATTTGGGCCAGGGGTTATAGGCCCTAAGGGTCCAAGGACCCAAAGAATAAGGCTTCAGGGCCCAAATACTATGATATTACTGGTATTTGGGCCCTAAAACCTTACTATTTGGGTCCTTAACCCTTACCCTAAGCATCTAGGGATTCATATTTGAAGGAATTTGGGCCCAAAGAAGATACGATGTTTGGTTTTCAGGTGATTTTGATGCTTAGGGTTATAGGGTTTAGGGCTTAGGGTTTGCGATATAAGGTTTAAGGTTCAGGGTTGGGGTTTTAGGGATGTAGGGACCAACATAACTACCAATACCGCTGGGGACGATCCTGCATGACACCATGTACCTATATCTTCGGAAGTATGGCAATATGGCACACCCAGGGTCATGCAGGAGTTTGCCCATGAACCGTATCATGTGTGTACGTCGATCTGAGATACCGTCAGCAGAATTGTACAAGGAATCTAGGGCCATGATTTTGTTAATTATCTAGGCTGCTACGGTATAATTATTAGGATTTACGGCCGAGGGTTCAAGGTTTACATCGGGCGTGGGTGCAGCCACAACCCCTGGCCCCAACTAACCTGTTGTCCGTATCATGTTGTTGTGAAACATGTTGTTGTTGTATTCCCAGGTGACGGGATTCACTCTGGGATCAGAAGGACCACACAGGCGCTTGAGGGCCTTTGGTTTTTGGAAGCATATGGCTCCCAACTCCACACTGTGAGTAACATTGCAAGCAGCCACAGGCAGGCTCACGATGTTCATGTCACCCTAAACCCTAAACCCTAACTCAGGGCTTCTCTCGAGGAGGGGTCCTGTGAGTTGCTTGTGTGTGTACGGCCGCTCTGAAGAGCCGATGCAGCGTTTGCACAGGTATCTCGGGGGTCCCTGTCCCTAAGGGTCCAAGGA